ATTTTCTTGCAAGTTGAAATTGACACGTCAAGTGAAATGAAAATAATAATTAATTTGAAAAAGTTAAAAAGAGATATCAAATTACTTTTTCACTTTTTCTTTGTTTGATTTAAACTTGATAAATCGACCCATATCCCATCTCTATGATCTTCTCTCATTTAGAAGTGTTCCTCTTTTGTTAAATCATTATAAAAGATTGCATTGTCCCATAAAATGATTTATCTTCAATATTCATATATCTTCATTTCCTTGAGCTCCATCACTATCTTCATGTTTTTTTGTTTGACAAAAGTACAATAGACCAATTCCTATTTGCAGGATTAGAAATAAAAAATACTTGTTGAGCTTGTGAAGCTAAAATAAAAGGATCATCTCTATATCCAAATAATTTAATTATCTACTGATATAAAAAACTAATTAATAAGTCAACTTCAATAATTTAATTATAGTCAAAATGTTGTTATATACTAACATAATGATGAAGTATTATAATTATATTAAGGTTGATAAAATAAATTATATTATGACAATTATAACTATATTAAGGTTGATAAAATAAATTATATTAAGGTTGATAACATAATGATCACTAACATTTTTAATTAAGTTATAGTGAATTTTTTAATTATAATGAAAGTTTTTAAATAATTATAAAGAAATTTTTATTTATCTAATAATATATATAATAATGATTAAATATCTTATCCTGAAAATAAGAGAGGTGGCGTTTATAATGAATACAAATGCCACCTCTCTACAATAATTATTTAATAATTATTCATCTAATAAAAAATAATAATGTTTAAATATGTTGTCCAGGAAAAAAGAGAAGTGGCGTTTATACTGACTACAAACGCCACCTCTCTATAATAATTATTTATAATTTATAATTTAAAAAATTTTGAATTAATCAAAATTAGTACATATATATCTATACAAATTTGTAATTGGTTTACTAAATAAATTATATTATGATAATATGCTAGCCTATAAATTAAATAATCCAGAAAATTTTTAATTAAGTATATGAAGTTTTTTTTTTCTCCTAATTTATATAATAATGTTAAATCATAAAAATAAGAGAGGTGATGTTATAATGGAATACAAACGCCACTTCTCTACAATCATTCTTTATCGAATATAACCCATAATAATCTATTTTCCTTTCTGTTCAGAAAATAAGCGAGGTGGTGTTTTGACGGACTAAAAACGCCACCTCTCTACCTACTTATTGTAATAATTTATAATTTAGAGAATTTTGAAGTCATCAAGATTAGAAATATAGATATATCTATACACAATTTGTTATTGTTTATTAAATAATTATATATATGGTAATTTGATAAACCTATAAAATTAAATAATCAATAAATTTTTAAACGAAGTTATAATGAAAGTTTTATTTTTTAAGACAATATATGATACAATTAGATTCTAAAAATAAGAGAGGTGGCGTTTCATGAGTACAAATTCCACCTCTCTACAATAATTATTTCATAATTATTTATCTAATAAAAAAATAAGAATATTTCAATTTGTTGTCCAGAAATAAAAGAGGTGATGTTTATACTGATTTAACGTCACCTCTCTATAAGAATTATTTCATATTTATAATTTTTGAAAAATTTTGATTATCAAAATACATATAATATTAGATAACATTTGTAAATGTGATTAAAATAAATTTATTCTGGTAATTTTTCTAACCGATAAAATTAATTATTCAAAAAATTTTAATTAAGTTCTAATGAAGGGTTATTATCAAATATATCCCTAATAATTATTAAATCTCTTCGGTTAAAAGTAAGAGAGGTGGCGTTTATGATAATACAAATGCCACCTCTGTTCAATAATATTTTATCTAACAACAATATAAGAATGTTAAGAAGAGAGGTAACATTTATACTAACTATAATGCCATCACCCTACAACAATTATTAATAAGTTATAATTTAGAGAATTTAGAATTACAAAAGTAAGATATATAGAGAATATATAATTTTATATTTTTTTATTAAATAAATTATATTATGATAATTTCTAAACCTATAAACTTAAATAATCAATAAAATTTTTAGTTAAGTTATAGAGAAAGTTTTATTTATCCAATAATAATATAATAATAATTAAAATCCTAAAAATAAGAGAGGTGGTGTTTATAATGAATACAAATGCCACCTCTCTACAATAATTATATTATAATTATTTATCTAGTAACAAATATAATAATATTTAAATTTGTTGTTCAGAAAATAAGAGAGGTAGCGTTTATATTGACTACAAACACCGCCTCTTTACAGTAATTATTTCATAATTAATAATTTTGAAGAATTTTGAATTAATAAAAAGAAATATAATTATATATATACATATTTTTAATTGTTTATAAATATATTATATTATGGTAGTTTTCCAATCCTATAAAGTGAATTAATCAATAAAATTTTTAATTAAGCCATAGAGAAAGTTTTATTTATCCAATAACATATAAAATAATGATTAAATATCTTATACTAAAAATAAGAGAGGTGGAATTTATAATGAGTACAAATGCCACCTCTCTACAATAATTATATTATAATTATTTATCTAATAACTTATATTATATTGTTTAAATTTGTTGGCCAGAAAATAAGAGGGTGGCATTTATACAGACTACAAATGCCACCTCTCTACATTAATTATTTAATAATTTATAATTTAGAGAATTTTGAATTAATCAAAATTAATATTTATATAAATATAATTTTGTATTTGTTTATTAAATACATTATATTATGGTAATTTTCTAAACCTATAAAATTAATTAATCAATAAAATTATAATGAAAGTTTTATTTATCTAATAACATATGTAATAGTGATTAAATATCTTATACTAAAAATTTGAGAGGTGGCATTTATAATTGATACAAACGCCACCTTTATACAATAATAATTTAATAAACTTTATCAAATAACATATATAATAATATTTAAATTTGTTGTTGAGGAAATAAGAGAGGTGGCGTTTATACTGACTACAAACGCCATCTCTCTACAATAATCATTTAATAATTTATAATTTAAGAAATTTTGAATTAATCAAAATTAATATATATATATATATATAATATTGTATTTGTTTATCAAATAAATTATATTATGATAATTTTCTAAACCTATAAAATTAATTACTCAAGAAAATTTTCAATTAGTTGCACTGTTGCCCATTCTTATTATAGGCAACTCTTTTTTACTTGTTGCTAAGTAAACTGTTTGACCACAGGATAAATGTCAGTCACTCTTTGACATATATATCGGTTTTAGTTACAAAAGCTAAAATGTGTATATAACTCAATAAAAAAAAAAAAATTAGCTGAAGGTTTTGGCATCACAACTTCCGATTCATGTGATAGGCTAACATACGATTAAATCTATACACGATTTCGCAACTGCACGAGCTGTATTAATAAGTAATAAAGTGACAAGTAGATTAAAATATCATTCTTATGAGAATATCACGACCTAATTGAGCATTAACATTACTGTTTTGCTTAAATGCGTTAAAGGGCAAAAATATTCATGAACTTTTCCTCAATGGGTGCGCACTCAATATCTTTAAATGAAAGAGGGTGAAAATGTACCATAACAATGATTTAATGAATGCAACTGCATCAAGAGCATTGAAGAGGGTGCTCGAGGTGTGAATGAGAGGGGAGAGAAGGCAATATTATCTGGAAGACATGTGGAAGGGGAAGAAAAGTCAATGGCTGATTTGGAGACACATGGCAATGATTGTGGATGCATTTAACGGACATTTTGCCTCTTCAATAATTTTGGCAAGGTTACACTCTTTAAACAACGATAGGATAACTTTTACAGCCTCCTTCACTTAAAAATAGTGAGTGCTCTTGTAAGAAAAGTTTATGCATATTTTTGCCCTTTAACCCCGCTGAAATTGAGCAAACCACGGAAGGAAGAAAATTTAAACTATACATTAATTACTTCTTAGCATATAATTTCCCTTCTTTATTGAAATTAAAATTATATTTGCTAGTCTAAATCTCTTAATTACCCATTAGTATCCTTTGACCCGACGACTAAAATATTCCAATCATGTGAACACCTAAGTCCTTTGGGCTATTACTTAATTGAACTTGACTAAGCACAAACCATAATGTGACTATATGTGTACGTAAGGCCGGTAGATATACGCCTTTCATACATGCAAATCAAGTTATCTCAAAACTGAATATACTCAATCTTATTACATGATCCAATTGAAAGTCTAGTCTAAATTCCCTATTTCTAGGCATTCCTCTAGAACACCAAAACAACCCTCGATCAAATTTCTTATTTTTAAGGACAAATAAGCAAAGCACACAATTGATTCAACACATATAATATTAACACAAATAAAATAAAGGTAGAAATGTTCATCCACTAATACATAATCATGTTATAACAAACCAAACCAAAAGGTGAAACATTGAATTATAGAGATGACCCTCAAAAATCGTGTTTAACAAAGCTATGTATTTATACTTTATTTTTGTTATGATCTGTTTGCTTGTTAATTGTAACATGTTGGACAGCAAGACATCTACGCACGAAAGAATTTGACTATTTAAGGTCCACATCCTCTCACCATTACAATCATTTTTCTTTCTGGATGTAATATATGTTGGGCCGCCCAACAGTTCCAAGAGAATATATATATATATATATATATAAGTGATCTTAATCCAAAACTTAAGGCATTGAAATTATGAGTGGCTATAAGGGAACTGGAGAAGTTTGGTTACGTAATAGCAACAGTAATACACGAGAGGTACGTAGAACATTGTAAGGGGAAGTTGATGGAAGGTCATTTTAGGGTTAGATGAAGATGATGAGGGTCCCATGCATGGACCCCACAGGGTTGAAAATGCGAGCTAGCTCTGTGTGCTTTGTGCTTTGTTGCATCCCTTTTTAAAGAAGGTGGTGAGAGAGAGAGAGGGGGGGGGGGAGGGAAAGGGATAGCTATTGCAGTTAAAGTTACATTCTCTCATTGATCCACTGAGAGATCAACAACGTAACGCTTGAGAATAAAACGAAGAAGAAGGCGACGCGCATAGAAGAGTTTAATTAGTAGTTTGTGATACTATGGGTCACCATACTTGCTGCAATCAACAGAAAGTTAAAAGAGGGCTTTGGTCTCCCGATGAAGACGAAAAACTCATTCGATACATTTCCACTCATGGCTATGGCTGCTGGAGTGAGGTTCCAGAGAAAGCTGGTCTCTCTTTCTATATATATATATATATATATATTATAGCTTGTTCCATCGAGTTCTTCATTCGTTGATTTTGATTCGATTAAACCTAGGAGAAAACAATAAGTCATATGTTTGTGTCTTTTTGCAGGGCTTCAAAGGTGTGGCAAGAGTTGTCGATTGAGATGGATTAATTACTTGAGGCCTGATATTAGAAGAGGCAGATTTAGTCCTGATGAAGAAAAGCTTATTATAAGCCTGCATGGGGTCGTAGGCAACAGGTAATTAATTCATCTGTGTGTGTGTGTGTGATCTCAATTAATCATCATCACTCTCTCGATCTCATTAATTCTGTATCATTGATTACTCATTGAAAGTATAAATTAATTACTTCAATTCATAATCTCCTCTTCAATTTCCAGACTCTTTCCCTTCAGGTTTAATTTTGAGCTGCCAACTTCGGCAGAGCCCAACTAATTTTCCCAATAATTATGATTATATCATATATTAAACTCATTTCAGATTGCTATATTAAAGCAATTTAATTATAAATGGTACTGATTTTAGACGAATTATTCCTTATATTAACTGATATTTCAGATTGTTATGTGAGAGAAATTTGATTATAGAGGGGACTGATATTGTTACTGACGACAAACTTAGCTGATGATCAGCTATGTAATAAGATACAGTTTCTGTGAAGTTATGCAAGCAATGATCTCAGTGAGAAAATTACTTTTCTACTTTATAATCTCATCCTCTAAAATTCATCTTAATATTTATTTCTTGAATATTGTTATCGAGTATTATTACATTCATCATTTCATGCCACATTTTTCACTCACACGCACAAGCAATTCCCAATTACGATTTATTACTTTTAGGTCTCTGATTTGCATTGGATTGTCGACAAATTAAAGATCAATGATATAGTCAACTTTCTCTTTAACTTAAAGAGAACAAAGGATTAAATTACTAATTAATTGTGCTGTGTGTGTGTGTGTGTGTGTGTTTTTTTTTTTTTTTTTTTGCATGTGGGTGATGCAGATGGGCTCACATAGCTAGCCACTTGCCCGGCAGAACTGACAATGAAATAAAGAATTATTGGAATTCGTGGATCAAAAAGAAAATAAGAAAGCCTTCGTCTTCAACCACTACTACTACGCAAATTGTGAATGATCATCATCATAATCCCCAATTCAGTCATAATAGTAATAATAATAATCCCAATGATCAACTTCACTTTAACTACACCACCCAAGATCATGACCTACTCACCTCAAAACGGCCAATTCAAGATGCCTTATTTTCTCCCACCTGTCCCTTGTTCATGTTCGACACCAGTACTTCACTGCATCATGGGATTACAACAACAACCTCAGACATAGTCAACAACAACAATGGTACAGTAGCAGCAGCAGCAGAAGTGTTCCAAGATGGTACTGTAAGTTTGATGAGCTCTGGGAGTTGGAATTTGAGTCAACATCATCTTGTTCTTCGTCATTCTTCTGCGACGACAACTTTTACAGGCGTGGACAGTGCTGCTACGACAAATACCAATTATAGTTTTCCACCTTTGATAAAGAACATGGCCAATGATAATCATGTGCAAATAGAATCATGTTGTATAGAGGAAGAAGGAGATATAGCAGCTATGGAGTGTTTGAGGAGGCAAGATGATCAGTTGAATAACATTGATTGGGTGGAGACGACAGGCCAACAACAATGTCCTAACTTCTTGTTTTGGGACAATCTTGGTGGGGATGAAATTATGGCGCCAGGTTCATCATCATCAAATCCGCTTTCTTCTTTTCCATCGTCCTGAGAAAAACAATGATTGGGAAATTTGGAAGACAAGTGTGTCCCCACACACACTCTGATAAATTTTCCCCTCTTTCTCTCTCAAGCTTGTTACTTATGAGATAACTTACTGTTACTGACTTTTGAAACGACATGGATGGTGGTCCAGCGCAGGCTTTTCTGAAACTTATTGCAGATATTTTGAGGTTGCTTTTCTCCTTTTTAAAGCTTTTGTTTTTTTTTTCCCTCCTGGTTTCTGATAAGAAAGATTGTAAAAAGTGAGTGAAGGTAATTAAATAACCTTGCGTGCAGTAGAACATTTTCAATTGGGTATTTGACTATCACTGTATACACATGTCTTTATTGGTTCTTGGTTATGGTAATTGAGTTGATTTTTGCTTTTAAATTACATGGCCAGCATGCAAATGTCATGGAAAAAGATAGAAAGAGAGAGGATTCTTTCCGAGTAGTTAGAATTAGATCGATGATCTCCTGTATTTTTTAAATACAGTTCATCTATCTAATTTGTTGTTACTTAAAATAAATTTGAATTCGGGTTATTATGAATATTTCACCATGATATATTGTTGTTGTTAATTATTTGATGTGTATATAACTTCTATATCTAATTGTGATATATATATATATATATATATATAATAAGCCAGACGTGAGTCCTACTAAACGATTATTCAAGCTATTTTAATATATTGCGGTAAAAAAAAAAAGCTATTTTAATATATAAAGGATGAATCTCAAGTACAGTTAAAACATAAAATTTAGGATTAAGCTGTAAAAATATCCAGAAATTTTTCTTTTCCAAAAATTACTGGTATCTTTAAGTTAATAATAATGATACATGAGTACCCATCAACTTTATAAAAGAGGCTAGCTAACCTTTTCCTAATATATTAAAATAACCTAACTTTGACCATTAAGTTTTAAGTATATAGAACTTAACGGATTGAAAAATGTTGACATCTTTTTTAAAGTTAATGGATACTCATACATTGTTAACTTAAATGATATTAGAAGCTTTTGTAAAAAAATGTTTTAGATATTTTAGCACCTTAACTCTAAAATCTAACATGATATCGAAACCATAAAATTTGAGAGATCTTTTAGATCAAAAAAAAAAACCAGAGAGCTTTAAAAAGCAAGTTAAAAAAATAAATATTGAAAAAAGGTGAAAAAAATGAAGAGACGGAGTAATGAACATTGTAAAAAAGGGGGAAAAAGCAGAAAGAAGGGTGAACGTGAAGATTGTAAAAAGAAAATGAAGAAATGCAAACAAAGTGTTAATGGACTTAATGCTACTAAAACTTCAAGGGGTAAAAATCTAAATAAAGATTAAAAAAGTAAAAACTGTTAAAAAAGTAGTGGTGGAAATATTAGGGTGCATGCAAGTCCTGTATATATTTAACAGCTGGAATATAAATTAATTAAGGATATACGTACCAATTAGAAGAAATGAGTCCCACGTAGCACATAGCTATATTTATTATTTTAGTACAATGAAAGGCTTAAACATAGTTATTAATATATAAAATGCAACGCTTATCCAGTACTCATGGATAGCTTCAATATTATAAACTTATAAAAATATAAAGAAGAAAGATAAATCTTATTTATTGAGCAAGAAGACTCAATTTTTTTTTAAATAAAGTTGAAAATTCTAGTGTTTTATATAGTTGCATTAACAAGGGTTAAAGAACATTTTTACCTATTCACTATTCACTCAAAAATATTTGATATCTTAAATTTAAATGTGATGTAATTTTTCTTTGAATAGTTACAAATAGTGCATTGGGCATCCTGTCATTAAAAAAATTTACTTTAACCATTAGCTGGTTTAAAATTTGAAAAAAGATCTAAAAATGACATAAAGGGACCCATAAAATTTCACTTAAGTAATTAAATCCCCTAAAATACATATAAATAACATAATACAAATATTATTTTTTGTCCACATAAAAGACCAGACACGATTTTCACCAGCCATTATTTTGGAAATTAATTGATATTGATTTTCTTATCATATGGTACTTATTTGCAGTTTAAATTGTCTTTTTCTGTAATATTTTAAGTCTTTTTTTATATATAATTTTTCAGTCAACTAACGATTAAAGTTAATTTTTTTAATGGCATGATGCTTTGCACATTATTTTCAAATACTGAAGAAAAAAATTGTACCACATATAATTTTAGGATACCAAACACTCTTAAAGAAATAGTTGAAAGGTAAAAATATCCAATAATCCTAATAACAAATATTGTAGATTTTATATGTAATTAATTTTTTATTATTTTAAAATAAATAATTTAATTTGCACAATAGTCAAAACCAAAACCAAAATGCACGGTTCCTTTGAGAAAATGACCAGTTAATTTATTACCCAAAGAATAAAAACTGGTTAATTTGGCCACATCCTATTGCCCATACTTATTAACAGAAATTTTTATTTGTAATTGTTTGAATAGATATTTATAATTTATTTCATACGAAATTTTGTTAGGGCCTAACTATCATTAATTGATTCCTTTGAGACCTAACTGTTATTTTCGCTTATAATTATAATTTCCATCATAAAGCGTTGTGCATGGGTAACCCCCTACGCATCCCATGGTATGACTATTTATGAAATATTACATGCACGCCATTTCTGGAATATGTTAATTATATGACTTACTATTTATGAATCATATATGCATACTTTATATATGCATCAATAGAACTCAAGAATTTACATCATATGCCTGGCTGGTTATTAAGGTTACAAGAATGTCAATGATTTAGGTTGGTGCAAATAATAACGTATATTTGTATATACTACGAGCTCAAGTCATGAGGCATAATTATCTTATAACTCATGATAAACCGTGACTTTAATTTATATCAACTTTATTTTAATTTGATTAAAAAATTATATTTTGAGATTGCTCTATTTCTTAGTCCTTTTAAGTTTTGTTTTTGCTGGTATACGTGTGCGTTTCATGCATCCTCCACATTTTATTGGGATATGAATAGAGGCCTCAAATATCACTTTGTTGAAATTTTACCCATACCTTTTTATCTCTAGATGGCAGGGGGGAAAAACTAGAGGCCTCATATTATAATTAACTTGAGCTCGAATAAATAAATACATAAACATAAAAGTTAATGATATATATAAAATTAATTTTCAAATACTTAATAAAAATGCAATTAAAATAATAATTGATTATAACAACTGACAACTTTGAAAAATTAGAAAGAAGTGATGTATACGACAAATGAGATAAATAAAGCATGCCTGTTCACAATAAAAAAATAAATAAGGAAATGGAAATGAACTAATGGTAATATAAAAAAGGAGATATATAGTTATATTTTACAGAATATTTTTTTCCCCTGAATTTTTTAGAAGAATGGAAATTTAATCATTGATCATTTTTATTTAATTATCAAACTCAATTAATTAAATGGTAGTTAAGCTTGGTCTAATCACTCTCTACTTTTCATTCGCTTTGGAAGGAGAAAATATATTTTAGGTGTTTGTTTCACTTTTATCATCAACCTATTTTGATTTTCTCTAGAACTCAATTATCCATTGTCTTTAATGTCACAAATTCATACCACATGCATGCATTTGTGTATGTCTCACTTTTTCTTTTAAAAAAAACCAAAATAAAAGAGTGTGAGAAGGCAGTCTAATTACATACAGTTTCAACAACTTAATTATAATAATTAGAATTAACTTGAATTTGGATTTAGTGAGTAGTCTAAATCCACTCACTCCATGAATGTTTCAGGTGTTAAAATAATAATCATTTGATTTAATCGAATGGTTGTTAGAGATTTTGATATATAATACTCAGAAAATACGAAATACCAAATTTCAAATTTTTTGAAGAGACAATATATGTGAGGACCGTTCTGATCACGAGAATTGTTTTGAATTTTTTGCACAAAATATATCTTGATAATTTTTAAATATTAATAAAATTTAATGGCTGTAATTGAGACATTCATTAAGTAGTAAATTTTGGCTACTTACCAAAATCAAATCTTCTAATATTTGATTTTATAAATAACTTTAATTATATACTACTGCAACAAGCTGCAATCTGACAGTCTTGTAAAAAAATATTTTTAAAGATGCTTTCAATGGACAGTAAAAATCACAATGTGGTGAACTAACATTTAAATTTTATTAGGAGATGTGTCCACATTTTGTATCCAATTGTGCGCTGAACATTATGGCCTCCAATAGGGAGGTATTTGTGAGCAATCAAATGCCAATTGTGTTTGCCAATTAAATCAGCATGTCTAGTTCTACTTTCCTTTATTTCTTATTTCTCTATGGAAGAAAAAGAAAGTGATGGTGCGTGCTTGAAATCAACTTTTTATAGTCAGAGTCATGATCTCGTGCTTTGCTTCGGCTTCAAGCGATTCTAGATTTAAGCCCCATATTAGATGAATTTAACTAAGTGATCAACCAGTTTAACCCGTACGTAATACCAAACTAATTAATTAATTGCTGTCTGGGACCATTTGACTGACTTTTTGAATTAATGATCTTTCAACATTATCCCACAAATATTTTGCTTCACCTCAAATGCATTCAAAGCATGGCATCATGTTCTTGGAAACCGATATTTGATCTCGACTCTTGATCAAAATGTGGTTTTAACCAAAGTAATATGAGAGTAATTTTATCTTCAAAGTTGCAAACAGTTCATTGAAAACCAAACCAACACTAAGACATTATTCTCTTCCTGATTCATAAACAATGATTTTCCATTTGTTTTTTTTTTTTAACATCAGAATTAGTGATGATTAATTGGTGGTGAAATTTCTTAACACTAAACCTCCACAAGTTTTTCTTTTTATTCTCATTATATATTAGAAAAAGAAACTATATTATTAAAATAAGGTAAAGTCAAAAATTAATTAAATTTTCATACAGAATTAATGAGTCATAAAGTTTTCTTTGCTTCTAACAAAACATGTTGAAAGTGGTGAGTTATATAAATAGAATTGGTGGGAACATGTAAATGTCTGTGATGAGCCATGTTCAAGGAAAGGGGGGATTAGAATCAGAAATATTTAAGCTAATTTTTGCCAAAAAAAAAAACACGCACACACATGTGGTGTTTATTTAGGTTTCAAGGGGCAATTGAGCAAATTTGAGTAAAAATTTTGAAGTATTATGTTTACAACCATTTCCCTCATCATTTTCATCCATCCCATTGTTGAAGAGATAAGGAAAGAGTTGCTTTCTCAGTTCAATCAATGCTGGCTTAAAAAAAACGACGTTATCAAAAGCCAACGCCAATCATGGTTAGTAGATGCTGGTAGTTGGATTTGTTTAAGGCAGAATTGTTTTGGCCTATTATAATTTGAAAGGTTTTTGATGCCTCTTGTAACACCTTAATTTGAAAGGGCAAAGCATAAATTATTCTTGATAAGAAATAAAAGTTCATACATAGAAGGGATCCTTTTTAAAATGATCCTCCAAATAGATTTCCAAAACGCATTTCCAATGAAACTTAAATTTCCAATGGAGGGAAGGAGAGGGGAGGGGAGGGGAGGTAATAATTAAATTACCATTATATCCTTGTACAATAATATATTTTTTTTAACATTTTATCACACAAATCTATTTTACATATAAACTCAAATTGTATAATTTTTTTTAAATTACCCTAATCTTGTTAATTTTTTTTTACTTCATCACCCCAAATAAGTAAATTAAATAATACTATTAAATAATCTTATTAGTAAATTAATCTAATATTAAACAATATTTTGCGAAAAAATCAATGAAACTAATGATTTTATACCCTCAATAATTGCACAAGACAATGCTAGTCCTTAATAATAATTGAGCAACAATCGTCATCATTAATAACAAAATATATTGGGCAATAGCATCTAATATATTGATCATGCTTAAGAACCACATTTTGACATCTAGCTAACAAAATATACAAAAATTATCAATAAAAGTCATCATCTAATTAGAACTATAAAACATCCTCATTATCACATCCTTCCGTACTGGTGCTGGACATTGAGTTGCTGCTCTAAGCCTATCATTATCAGCCATAAGAAACCAATACATGTCAGGTAATCTTGCAGCATCAATCCCACACTCTTCAAGCATTTTTCAAAGTTCTTCACCTGACAATTGTGGCACCTTCTTGAAACTTTGTCCTATTATCACATTTCCTTGTTGAATTGCCTCAGCCACAGCTAACACCGCTCCTGTCAACTCATTTAGACTAGGCTCCTTCTCCTTAGACACCCTCTTTGTCTTCTTACTACATGCACTATTCATAGTGGGTGAGTGCTCTTGGTCAGGTGAGTTTTCTTGTCCTGGTGAGATTTCTTGTCCATCAAGCTCAACATTAATTGTGGCTCTATTTTGTGAGACAATATTATTAATGTCATTGACGGTTTCAGTGACTTCTTCCTGAGAATGACAACTCTTTCTCTACTCACGGGCTGTCTCACTCTCATCTCCATTAGCTCTATCTACTCCATATAATATCATCATTTTTTCATAGTTTGGAAAAGGAGTAGTTCTCCACAATGCTGCTTTAGGTTTAGCCTGAAACAAGTGAAATTACAAAAGCAATTCAATTGCAAATGCACACTTTTTCATTTTCAAATAATAATATAATCAATGCATATGTAAGAAATTTACCTCAATTAATGCATCCCAAACTTCAGGCTCAGCATCCCATACTTGAGTTATTGGATTCCAAGCGAACCCACTCAAACTTTTGAAAATATCATAAACATCTGAAAAGTTTCTCTTTAAAGTCTTCCATTGATTTTTCACCTTTTCCTTGTCAATTTGTTTACCGAATAAAGCACTCAAATATTTACATATATTATCATAAGCTGTAGTTGTAAAAGTGCCATTAACTTTGTGACCCTTATTATATTCATTCATGAAAGCATCAATGAGGGCATCATCCATTAATCTTGTCCAGTTCACAATCTCCTTATTATTGTTTGGTGCCATCCTATCACATAACAATATAATCACATAATACCAATCCCAATATGAAAAGCTAATCAAATTTCAATAGCAAACTAAACCTCAATTAAAGTCAATATAAGTCAATGTAATAATACAACATATTTAAATGTCTATAATGATACAATAGAGTCTAACTTATTGGGAAAATCAAAATTCAATCATCAAGTTCATCCTCAAGAGTAGCCAGATGTTCCTGATAATCTGCCCACATCTGATTGGCTATATTTTCTCTAATAAGTTCACTTCGAGCAGCCTCATTATTGTCCCCTCTTTGAGCACGATTATTATCATTTCAATGGTTTTCTCTTGCAAGAACAGCATCAACTTCCTCTAAAAGATCTTCAATAGGGTCCATACTCACAAGGAAGTTATGAAGAATGCAACATACATATATTATCATGTTTTGTGCTTTGATTCCATATGTAGGTTCAGTTGCATTGGATAGAATGGAAAATCTTTTTTTCAAAACACCAAAAGCACGTTCAATGGCATTGCGTAATTTTGCATGTCGAAGGTTAAATAACTCTCTATAATTTAGGGGGGGATTCCGTTTTGAATATTCTTTCAAATGATAACAGACTCCTCGGTAAGGTGTTATAAGTCCTCTTGTTAACATGAATCCAGCATCGACAAGGTAATATTTACCTATCATAAAGGAAAATAATTACTATAATAATTTTACATTCACAAATAAAAACTTTATCAAAATTGGTAAAATATTTACCTTCAGGAATTATAAGCTTATCTTCTCGTGTTAATGCATTTTTAATGATTCTTGAGTCAGATGCAGTACCTTCCCATCCAGGGAGCACATAAGTGAACTTTAGATCAAAGGTACATGTTGCTAAGACGTTCTGTGTCAGAAATTCCTTCCTACCACGGTATCTAGGAGCATCTAAAGAAGGCACCTTGACTCGTATATGTGTTCCATCAATAGCACCAACACAATCCTTAAAATATGGGAAGAATTTCTTATCTTTTTCAATTTCAGGAAGGATGGTTGAGCCATTAGGTTGAACAAGAAATTTTTCTTCTAAGTCAATGATAGCTGTCAAAACTTGATGAAAATGACGACTAATTGTCTCACCAGAACGCCTAAACCAAAAATTCACTTCACGATTTTTTGCATTGTGCGTCAATATATATAGAGTTTTTGCAACCATTTCTTCCACACTTGACCATCGCGTGGGTTGCAGGCCAGCCTCTCTTTCTAACATACCACATAATTCTAAAAAAGTTCTAGGAGTCATTCTAATGATATTTCGACTAGAGGGACAATCACTAATTCGGCTCATTATTTCATCACGTACCATTTCTCTCTTGCCACTCAAACTATAACTTATTTTTTTTCGAACATATGTCACTTGCACATACTTTTACAAGGACACAAGCAAGAAGAGCTGGTGCTCTTCGACGCAATTCAAACCAATATTGCACCAGTAAAAGATTTTTAGATTCCTTGCTCATCTAACAAAGCAATCAAGAAGAATAATGGAAATCAATAAACAAGCCACAACATCATAAATAAGAGCAAAAGATTCAGTTTCATCAGCAAAAAATAATGATCATATATAGTACGAGCAGAAAACAAGATTTATGTGACTCTATAGATTCTAAACTTAGCAATCTCAAGACAGAAGCAAAAGAACTAGCAATATTCAATGCAATATCACATCTGAAACACGAATAGTAAAGACCCTTCTTAATTTGAAAGACACTAGAGTCTCACCGCTCTATCTAGTTAATAATATATACGTCAAAATATAATATGACATTGGATTTCTTCAAGACCAAATTGAAGGGCGATGACCAGATAAAAGTAAAGCATTCAACTGGATCATCCCCAATTGAACCTCCGCCCCTCCCCAGCCCAATACATGCTAAAACAAAGTTAAATAACCACACCTTCTAACATGCAAAGCTTGCAACTTCCGAGTTTCAAAGATCAGTATAATTTACAGTGTCTGGGAAATCGATTCTGGCGAAAAGAAAACAAAAAATATGACCATCGGGTTCGAAGAAAGATATCATCAATTGAAATTGGCTACAGTGAATGCCACCATAAACCAGGAATGCAAGTTCTTTGCTTTCATCCGATGATCAAAACATCAATTTTATAGCCCTAAATAGACAAAAAAAGCACAAAATTTTACAGGGAAAAATGAATGCGCATGGACCAAATTACCGTAGAAGGAAACTAAAAGGTAGAGATGATCACAATCTGTGATCGAAGAAGCCAAGGAGACAAATTTCCCTGTAAATCTATATCTATCATTGCCCCATACCAGACCCAACTTTTACAAAACAACTAGAACAAAGATCAAAGCCACACATCTGACGGGATAAAGAAAACAGAGCAATCACAGATCTCAGAACAGGGTCCGAACGGAAAGAAAAAAATGAAGAACGAAGAAGAAAACCAGGATGAAGCTCAAATCAAACATAAATCAAGCAGATCGATTCAAAGAAAAGATAGACCGAGCAAATGTGAGGAAGAATCTGACCTGAGAATGCACGGTGAGAGCTTCAAAGAGGAGGACCTGATGGGACGATGCACGGCGGGGCTTCGAGCACGGCAGACCAGAAGAATGGAGAGAGCTCCGACAGACCGAGAAGAAGACCTGGAGGACGAGACAAACCGAGCTTGTGGAAGAAAAAGAAAGCCAGCGAGCTTCTGCGAGTCAAACGTTTTCATTAGGTTTCAAGGGCAATATCATAATTTTATAAAAATAATGAGGGCAAATTAGTCAACAAATTTAACTCTCCCTCCAAAAAACCCCAATTTGGAGGGAGCTAAAATGAGGGGAGGGGAGGGGAGCCAAAATTTTGAATCAAATGAAAGATATGGAACCCCTCCCCTCCCCTCCCCTCCATTTACCTCCAACCAAACAAGCCCTTAAATAACATGTAATCATAATATATAGTGGAACCACGGTTTGAATGGAGAGGCTGGGCTTGTCCCTCCACGAGTGCAAAATATCGGGTCCCAAAGCACCCGATTTTGTTTGTTATTTTCAATAACGCTTACTATTATAAAATATATATTGTATGTCTCTCAATTTATATTATTTTTTATAAAAGTGATATAAAAAATAGAGACAATGACAATTTTATAAATAAATGTTAAATATATAAGACTATCAATGTTTCTTTTTTAAAAAAGCGATATGGATAAATTATCTACATTGCTTTTTAAGAAAGCAATGTGAAAAATGTCCAAAAATTAATAATTTAAAATAATTTATATTTTACAATTGACGTCATGTTTTTTTTAAAAGCGACGTGATAACTTACCATGTTCGCTTTTTTTAAAAAAGAAACGTGAATTGTAAAAAATAAATTATTTTAAATTATTAATTTATGAATATTTTCACATCCTTTTTTTTAAAAACGGCGTGGTAAGTTATCTAAGTCATTTTTTTAAAAAGCAACGTCAATCGTAAAAAATAAATTATTTTAAATTTTTAAATTTTGAAAATTTTTCATATCATTTTTTTAAGAAAAGGGACGTGGATTGTAGAAAATAAATTATTTTAAAAAAGTAATATGGTAAGTTATCCACATCACCTTTTTTGAAAGAGACGCATTGTAGAAAATAAATTATTTTAAATTATTAATTTTTAAATATTTTTCACATCATATTTTCTAAAAAAAGTGACTTAGTAAGTTATCCACGTTGCTTTTTTTAAAAAAATGATGTGGATTTAAAAAAATAAATTATTTTAAATTATTAATTTTTGAATATTTTTCACATCATTTTTTAAATAAGCGACGTGAATTTCAATCAACTTTTTTTAAATCATATCGAGCTCTTCCCTTGCTCCATCATTTTGTATTTTGAAAACTAACACCTCTTCCTCTTTCCCTTCGATAGCAACATATCTCTCTTCTCCTCCCCATTGCAGATCTCTCATTTCCTCCACACAACAACTCTCTTTTCTCCTTCCTACTGCATCAAGACCCACAGCATTGAGATCTATGGTTGACAACTGAATAGAGACCCAAGGCTAGCATTCAACAATGAACATTTGACAGACAACCCTCTCTTCTCTTCATCTCCTCTTCCCCCCATTCGATGGACAGCTTTGAGACCCATAGTTGAGATCCATGGCTTTTCCTCCTCTTTTCCCTAACCAAACAATACATTTTTTCACATACCTTTTTAATATATTCATAAGCTCAACTAGGTCAATCCATGTTAAATAAGCTGGACCACACATTTGCACCTTCTTGACTAAGGGAATTGCTAGGTGAACCATGATGTTAAAGAAAGCAAGTCGGAAATGCATCTCAAGCTCACACAAGGCTGATACAATTTGACTTTGTAACTTCAATAACTTGTTAGAGTCAATCACTTGAATGTAAATAGATTTGAATAAGAAACACTAGTACGAAAAATGCATTTTTTACTACAGTTAAAATGCATTTTTTGCGATAGAAGAAGCTGTGTAGTAGAAGATCATGTGATAGTAATGGACATTTTTTGCCATAGGTTATGCAGAATTGTGGTGAAAGATGCCATTTTTTGCCAGAAGTCCCAGCTCACCTATGGTGAAAAATATAGTGGTAAAAAATGTCATATTTTGCCACAAGTCTCAACTCAACTGTGGCAAAAAATGATATTTTTTGCTACAAGTACTTGCTTACCTATTGTGAAAAATATGTCGTCCAATGCATATCTTTTGCCATAGGTTCCAACTCACCTGTGGCAAAAAATAGTATCTTTCGCTATAGGTCTGATCTCACCTATGGCGAAAGATGCGTTTGTAGGTGCATATATAGCAACAATTATGGCTACAACTGTTGCCATGCATGCATCTTTTACCATAGTTATTGTTATAACTGTAGCCGTAAATATTATATTTCTTTAATAGAATCACCAATTACGATATACATCTTTTACATACAAAACCTACATTAATACATAAACAGTAGCTCCAGACACTAGTACAAATATATTTAGTGCAAACATATGAACTAAAAGTCAACATTTTTAATACAAATATTTAGAAAGTTTCTACTCTAATCCTGTTAATTTTAAGAAAAACATAGACCACATGTTGCAAATATGTCTCAACTCTTGCTTAGAATATGGCTCTAAACGTTAGAAGTGCTACAGATTAAATAACAATATATGTATGAATAATAACTCAAGTATATGGCAAACATCATGATTATAAATCATAATTAACAAATTATTACTTGATCAAATGAGTGAGTGATACCTTGAGTGATGATTTCATATATGAAAATCATCACATAATAACCGCGTTCTATACTTCTTGGTTGTTGAGGACACTATAAAGAAAATAAAAATAATTAAATTTATTATATCAATAATATAATCTTCATTCTAATTAGGGAATAAATTTGAAATACTTACTTGCATTAGTACCTACTTGATTTCATTTTTTTTTCTTGTCAACCATTTTTGCTAATTTCCAATATGTCACTAGAAATTTATTTACCAAATATACATAGTTAGAAAATATTAAATACATGTTATTAATAATACAAAATAGAATTATTCAAAAACTTATAATTCAATCAAAGTCTTCATATTGTTGCTTATTTTCCTTTGTAGTGAACAAAACTAGTATATGGTATTTTCACATGGGCAAATGACAGGAACCATCTAATGATTACTACAATATATTAATTTATATTAATATCACATCATTAAGGAAATTTTTTTAAGGGATGAAATTAAAATTTAATACCTCTCAATAATTGGTAAAAACCAGCAGCTCTTCTTTTGATCGTATATCATCTTTCTAATATAATAAGCTCTTTGGTTTACTTTACCACATGTAGTTAAAAGTGGAGACAAGAACCTATAATTATTATCGACATAGAGTTCAGTACATATTTTGTGGAGGTACATTTGATAATAAGAAATACGTTGGAAATAAAAAATATTAAATATTAATTTAGAAATAAAAATGAATACTTACAATAACAATTTGAATTATTCTCAAGTCTTACCACTAAAAAATAATAAGATCATTAATGTCTTTTCTGCTGACTCTGAACATAATATGCTTCCCAATGATCTTGTCAATTATGGTTATTTCATCAAAAAATTCATTCATGTCAACTACCACCAAAGCCAACTGTTTCAAATCATCTTACACCGGTTGGGGCTTGGAGCCCAGAGATTCTTTTGATTGTAAAAGTTCCTATAATTAATATATAATGAAAATTAGAAATACCTATGATAGTAATTAAAAAATAAAAAATTATAATATTTTCATACCTCTTCAGTAACCTGTTGGACTTGCTTTTTCAACCAATAATTAAATTATACTAAGCTTTTCCTATTGTTTACACCTCCTCAATAGGGAATAGGACATAAGCATTAGCATCCACAACC